GAAAAAAAAATGCCAGGGCCAAAATTGTTCAAAGGGGGCGGTAAGTAGTAATAGGGGGCGGTGAATAATAAATCCCTAAGTTTTATCCGATGACTCCAAAGGAAAAATGTAAGTTTTATTTATTAATTGATGTCTTTCAACCATTGTAATGAAAAATAAGATGTGATGGATACGTTGTAGTTTGTACTGATATTTTAATTAGAAAATACGATATATGGTTGTTCTATGGTGTACTTCCTTTTCACTCTTCTGTGATTTTAACACTTTCAAAACGTTAGTGCTAACAATAGTATATTCAAAATAAATAAAGCTTGAGTGGTTGACAAAGAAGACAAAGCTTCCTTCTTTCTCAAACAACTATTAGGTGATCACTTTAATTTCATAGTTTATTAATTTCTTTTATTTTCTCCCTCTGCAATGACTGCCATGGAGAGTTGTGAATTGTATTATCAATATTAAGTGGATTTTCAACAGTTAAAGCTCTGAAATATAATGAAACAATAGATTAATTAAATGCAGACTTTGGCTTTTCAAGCCTATGTGCCAACTTTTGGTACATGTTATCACCTTTGTCGAATTATGGTACTTTGTAGGCTTATAAGTTAATTTCTGTTGTTACATAGTAACAGATATGAACTTCTACACTTTTAAAATTATAAAACACTTGACTAATTTAAATTATAAATAAAATTATTTATCAATTAAATAATTTTGTCAATAAAATTATTATATGATATGAGTTAGAGAAATAATTATAATATGTAAGTATATAAAAAAAGAGGTGTCGTTTTAAATGCACAAAAAATTCTCTCTTATAAATTTAAGTATATATTTATTTTTAAACTCGTGTAATACATGATGGCCACTGGTTAACATTAGTTGAAGAGGAAATTACACCCCCTACTTTAGCATTGTAAATATATTATAATTATACTTTTATTATATAAATATTTATATAATTACCAAACTAAGCCTAAAGTATTGCTAATATACCTAAGTAGTGACAATTTAAATTATACTCAGATAATTAAGGTGAGTTGCTGATTTTACGGGTGAAGATAATCTCTCTCTACCTCTCTGTCTCGCTCTCTCTTCCCCTCTCATCTTCGTCTCTCTCCCTCTCCGTTTGGAATGGTTTTGTTGTTTTCTTCGAACTCAATATTCTGGGAATTGAGGTCCCCGAACACTTCCCGCCGCCGTCGTTGCCATTGAGTCTGTCCGCCGAAATTCGCGCGGCCAAGAGCCGCTGCCGCTGGCCGGCTGTTATTAATAAAAAAAAAAAAATTGGGATTGAAGCCGTGAAGCCGCTGCCGAAGATTGAAGCCCGTCTTCAACGGTGAAGCCGCTGCCGGCGATTGTCGCCACTGGGATTGGCAGCCAGGGCTCGCGAGTCTGCCACTAATGGCAGGCGCGTTCACAAAAATAAATAAATAAATAAATAAAATGGTGTATCCATTTTGATGACGATGTATATCTATAAGTACATATACCAACATGTATATGGGTTATTTTTTTGTATGTATATAAAATATATGTTTCATTTTCTTGGGTTATATTTTAGGTATATATACTGAGATTATGGGTTATATATTCAGTATATATACTGGATACTGAACATAAACAAAAAATATAGACCTATTTGTTTTAGGTATAGACAATGTCTTAGGTATCATACTAAATTTATGTTTTTAGGTATATATATGTACATAGACAAAAAATATACATACTGAACATAAACCAAACAATATATTGCTGAACATAAACTAAAAATAGAACATAAAGATAAAATATACTGAACATAAACCAAAAATATACTTATACTGCACAATAAAAATAAATTGCTGAACATAAACCAAAAATATTAAAACTACGCAGTTTTCCATGAACAAATACCAAAATATACTGCAGATATACTTTCACCTGTTCAACATTTTATGAAATAATCATTAATTTGAAAACTATTAGTATTGTACATAGCAGCACTACGACTCTCATTGAGAGCTTGCGGCTTCAGTAATGGAGGGTCAGCCTAAATAAAAACACCGACACAAGAACCGGGATGGGCGGCCCAAAGATCTGTCCCAAATGAGTACCCAATCAGTTCATCAATTGGTCAACAACGGTCTGAAGGGATCCGTCGGGCTCTGGCGGTGGAGGTTGGGCGCCGTCTTCTCAAGGGGAAGCGATTCGTACGGCGACGGCGTGCTTCGAGTCCGCGGTGGAGATGGCGATTACTTTTCGCACTTCGTCGGGCTGCTTG